CTACACTTCGCGTTAACACACTGATCTCACGAAAAATCAAGCAGGAACTAGCCAGGAAAGCGAGGTGTTTAAAGCCAGCCATTTTTTTACATGAGAACGGATTAATCATTTTTACATTACTTCTTATGGAAAAGCTTGGTTCGGTATAAGTCCAAACACCAGGAACGGATTAAGGTCGTATACCGAGGTTCCATGTATTTTTTAATTGGCTTATCATCAGTGAACATTTTTTAACTCTATTTTTTATTTATTAAGTTGTTTATTTTTTATTCTTTTTATCTCTCTGAAGTACATTTATATCTGAACAGCTTCATATCACTGAAGAAAATACTCTGTACATCTACATTTCCATATCTTACAGAAAAATATCATCAGTTTATATATTAATAAGATATTTTGAATATTAAAATATACAGAATAACCTGATATTTACAGGGGTTGGACAAAATAATTTGACATAATTTAATGCCCCTTTTATCATAGTTGAATTAAACTTTTCCTGAAACATGAGCCATCACAGGTACCATCTCTTTTTTTCTGATTTGCATAGCTTATGTTACTGTTGATAAACTTCATTACTTTTGTTGTTGAAAAATTATTTGCTTGTTTTTGGGACATGATTATATCAGACCTAACAGATTTCTAAAGGGGAATGGTTGTTCATGCACACGTAGTAGGGGCTTCTGTGACCTGCAGTACTGAATGACAAGTCTGAGTCTGTTTGTATATTTTAATTAACATTAAATAGAATTCAACTATGCCTGTCATCAATCATCAAAGCATTATTAGTAAAGGTAACCTGCTAGTTGTATTTTATCATTACTGATTTGTAAAGATAAAATACAACTAACAAGTTTAGTCCAAATACAACTAGCTTAGTTTTTTCTTCCTATCTATAATACTGACATTACAATTTGTACAACAAAATTTTTAAGTCAGTTTGAGACTTTGCAATGCAGAAAGTTGAAAATAGTCCAAATCATAAAAAGAAATTGCATGTTAATTCATAAAATAATCAAATGATTTTTTACAGATCTAGCAATATTGCCCATGAAATATGAATATACATGTAGTTTGTTTGTTTGTTTATTTTATAAAAATATAAAAGAAAAAGCAGAAGTAAAAAATGCTAAATAAATCAAGAGTTTGGACATTTGTCAGGACAGTGTTAGAAGCTTGACGGTTGGATGGCCAAGGAAGTTAAGGCATATGTCTACCTACTACTATGGGAGCTTAGGAATAAATATAAAAGGATGTGCAGCTAATTAGCATGGATCTAATATGGGATGTGCAGCTAATTAGCATGGGCAGTCTTCTTCAAATCAGTTGGGTCCTATCCCTCACTGCCTGCCTGCCCATTGTGAGTCAGGCCAAACTTATGATGAGTACAGAAAAAAATGGCCTTCTTAGTACAATATGGTGGAAATAATAAAAGAAACTAAACTTTAAATGAAATTTTGTGTAAATATTTAATTGCTCCATCATTCTCAAATTTGTTGATCTTTTTCCTTAAATATAAATCTAGTTTCATTCCACTTCATGGCTTTCTTTGATTGCATCTTTCCAGTGCTTTTCAATCCTAGTTTCTAAGTTTCAAATAACTGATCTTATATAGGAACTATTCACTGTCATTGTCTTTAATTTTTTATGTATACCGCTGATTGCTGAATTTCTTCAAACAATCCTTCTCATTTCTTATTAAATCAAATATATTATATTTCACATTATCTTAACTTCCTGTACACATATCATCTACCATTATTTTCATTTTGTTCCTTTTCTCAATTTATCCTCATTGTTTCTCTCTCCTTGTATTTTCCCTCCATTCTTTCTCCAATTTTTATTAAAATCATTACTCTGCTAAACTGATCCTTCAAACCATCAATCTCTATTTCTAAATTTTTAAAATTTTTTCCACAATTTTAAACTCTTCTAAAACATTGTACACTCCTCTTAACTTATATTTTGTTAATTTCCAAAAATACTAGTCTGTCAATGAGTTCTTGTTGTTTCCTTTCTACACAAACTAGAAGTTAAGGACAAAACAATTACTAGACTTATGGCCAAATAGTTTAGAAGAAATAGATAATCTCATACTATTTTTGTTAATTTCCTGACAAACTCATCTATTGTATCATTTCTCCAAACAAATAATCACTCTCTAATATAATAATAATGTAATTATATTTTAGGAAATTGATGAACTGCTCTCTGGTTATCTCACTCAAGAAGATGAGGATGCCGTTCTAGATGAGTTAGAAGCCATTGTTGCCGAAAGTATGCCCAATGTTCCAGAAGAAGCTGAAGAAGAAGCTAAAGAAGAAATCAAATTTCCTGAAATACCTAAAGAAGAACCAAAAGGTAATAACAATATTGAATCAATTGTTTATTTGTTATGGCTTTTGCCTTTACAAAGGGGTTACAGAACTTTTAACAACATTATTAATACAAACATTGTTTTACATAATTATAAATAGATAACAATTGATATAACTTAAATTAGTAAAACTATGTTAACATGTTTAATGAATAACAGAAAAATTTAAAAATTTTATATAACATTACAGAACTTAAATTATCATCATATAAACAAAACATATTAAAATCAATTGTCAAAAAAATATCCTTTAACTGTTCAGTGTATTCACAAGATACAAACAAATGATTCTTAACATTTTCAATAATTCTGTTACATAGAGGACAATTGGAGTAAGCCAATATATTAATTCTATGCCCATTTAATACACTAGTATAGTTATTAAGTCATAATTGTATTATTAAAGATTTTAATCTTATAATTTAAATTTGATAACAAATAATCTTGAGGTGTCCATGGGGTAGATAGAGAAATTTAAAAAAAAATACACTTTTGTTCGATATAAAGAATATCTTGAGCCCAGTATTTATCTTTTAATGACTGGAAAAGTTCAGCTAGAAAACGTTTTTTATCAGGAAATTGAGTATAATAAGCAATTGAATAAACTAAATCAGATAATAAACATTCAACTAAAGAGGGCCAAGTTAAAACCAAATAATTACTACCTATTAATTTTAATTTATTATAGACCATCTTTCTGAGATCAAGTTCTGGTAGCTTTTTAAACTAGTATCTAAAAATGGTCAATGCTAAACATATAGCCATTGGCAGTCGACCCAATTCGAATCTTAAAACAGGTCCAGGCACCAAATGATTAATACGAAATATCGATCTGATAAATCTCAGTTGAATCTTCTCTAATTTATCAAAAAATAATGGACCCCAAATAGGAAACATAAATCCCAAACTTGAGCATATCAAGGAATCAAACAATCAAAAGTATGACTTAATAGAAGACTGCTTCATTCTAACCATGACCCTTATTAGATTAGCGAGTTGGCGATTATATTTCAAAAACAATTTGTTTAAGTGAAAAGAAAACAAGCCCTGTGAAGTAAAATAAATACTCAAATATTTGAGAGACAAGACAACCTCTAACTCAGAGTTAGATAAATAAAATTTATCAGCTTTTCCCAATCCACTCCCTCTCCGAAAAACCATTACTTTGGATTTAGCTTCGTTAATAAGTAGTTTATTAGACTTAATAATCCTACAGAAGGTTAAGTTTCCTTTGAAGGCCACTAGCTGAATACGAGAATATTACAATGCCATCAGCAAATAAGAGACAATTTAGTTCTAGCTCTGGGGATATTGATATACCCATAGTATTATGACTATGAAAAATATCTGGGAGATCATTGACAGATAAATTGAACTAAATAGAGCTAAGTGGTTCACCCTGTGGAAGACCTTTATTAGCAATTACTGCTTCTGAGATACATCAATTAACTTCAATTTGAAAGGCAGTACAGTAAGATCCTGCTTAATGTTGATTCGATATAATGTGGTGTACTCGAAGCCTAAAAAAGCGCTGATTCAAATTATTGTGCCATTTCATTGATTATTTCCAAACACAAACCAATCAGCAAAAGTGGCAATTCATCATAGCACTGTCTTTTCCTTAAATCTATGTTTGTTTGGTGCAATTTTGGAAAAAATATAACAGCATTGATGCCATAGGCCAGGGGTCGGCAACCTATGGCACATGTGCCAAACGTGGCATGCAGGATGATTTTCAGTTGCACTCTGATTGAATAGAAATGTAGCAGAAATTATGTTTTAATTATTAATTACACATTTAAATAGATTTCATAGTTCAACAAAGGCTGTGGTGCATTAAAAACGAATCTGTTGTTTGTATATTTCTATTACAGCACATCTGTTTATGCTCCGTGTCTCCATTTACGTGTTATGCAAGTGCTTCACATGTAAGAACATAATTCAATTAATGACTTAACTTCAAAATTATACATTTTTGAAGTCAGTTATTGCCGGACTAATTTTGATAACATGTATAATAAACTTGATAGAATCATGTCGGCACTCGGAATAACACTATAACTGACGTTCAGCACTACACTACTGAAAGATTGCCAAACCTTGCTATAGGCAATATCGACTTCACTTGGCAAGAATTAATTGATAAATGCATGAGCAAAGTGTGGAAGAAGTTATGGCTGAAGGTATCCAAGAATTCTCAACGAGAAGAGTCTAATTGATACAGCAGGACTAAGAGATGTAGACGAGCAGAATATTGAAAGTCACTGTAGAGAGTCTTACCAACGACACCCTTCAGGAACTGGCAGAACAAGGAATTCATGTGCAACTGGAAAATAGTAATTCTGAAAACGATGAATCCAAAAAATTTCTCTACAGATTTCCTTAGTAAAAGTTTGGTAATGATAACTAAAATCATTGATCAAATTGTAGCGAATGATCCACATTTTAAAAGGAGTGCAAAAGCAAGATGAGGTGTTTTGGATGCGATCTCCTGGTACTGACATTTGCTTCAGGAAAGAAAAAAGCAACAATGAAACTATGCAACTTTATCACAAAAAACAAGAATTTCAGAAGAGCCAGGACCTTCGTCACAAAAAATGAACTTTACATTTTTGTGTGCATGTGTTTGTGTGTTATTTAACATATATTATTATACAAATTAATATAAAAATAACTTAAAATTAAAGTAAAATTTATTTATTTTTGGTCATGTGTTCCTCTTTCCCTATTTACTCTGTTAAAATGACCTCATTTAACGCTGTTTTGTTTACCGCTTTGTTGTCTAGGAATGCATCCCCCACATTAAGCGGTGTCTCACTGTATTAGAAAACAATTGTCTTATAATGTTAATAAAAGAAGAAGAGATACCTATCTGAGAAAGCTTCGACTATAAAATATTGCAATCAATTGTATCAAACACTTTTGACAAATCAATAAATCCAACATATAATTTATTACATTTCTTAGCTAGAACTAATTGCAAAATTCCAAGAAAAAGAAATAAATTGTAACCAACAGCTCTATTCACTACAAAAGCAACTGGCTAAAGCAAATAACATGAAACCTCTCAAGTCAAAGTCTCAGATGATTAACCAATAACATAGAAAAGATTTTCCTAATTACACTGATTAGCAATATTGGATGATAATTTAAAGGATCAGAATGGTTACCCTTATTATATATCATTTTTGGCAAATATTCTTCCAAATACAGTAGAACCTCGATTATCCGGACTAATTGGGGACGAAGGTAGTCTGGATAAGGAAAAATCCGGATAATCGAAAAAATACTTTAATTTGTCTGTTAATGATAATACAACACGTTTTCTTTTCGCTGACATATCGGTAATATTAAAAGTAAATACTGTATTTAAATCGTGATCAAATTTTCAAGAAACAAACGTTTGTATTGAATTTGTACTACTACTGACCAGCGCTAACAGATTAGCTATTGTTTAAAAGCCCCTCTGGTGACGCAACAAGACGGATTTTATAAAATAAAAAGCAGTTGAAACTGCATTTTTATGAATAAAAGTTTGACAAACTATTTATCATTTTATGACAAGTCAAATTTTTTCGTCGCGTTCGCGGCTTTTAAGTAATGCATAAACCTTCGAGGTGCCAGGCCCTTCGGACTGCGAGGCATAGGCAGTGGCCCACATCGCTTGTGCCTTACACCGCCCTTGGTCATAGAAATGATGTAATTTGAATATAAATTATTTATAAATATGTATGTCAAGTTATATTTTCATTACTACGTAAAATATATTTAAGAATTTACGACCACTGTGCCGGGTGAGACGTTGAAACAAAAAAAGTTATGCATTGCATCCTGTATATAAACAGTATCGTAATTCGCCAAGTGCAAATCAGCAAATTCGTAAAATTTTTTGTTTATTTTGAACAATCCGGATAATCGAAAATCCGGATAATGGAGGTCCAGATAATGGAGGTTCTACTGTAGTAGGAAAAAAATAATTAGTTTTAAAATTATTGAATAAAAATAACAAATCATTTATAGCATTTATCAAGAGAGATTTAATCATCTCAGCTTTAATATTATTCAGGCCAGGGGCTTTATTATTTTTCAAAGAACACACCACAAATTGCAGTTCATCAAAGGAAAAATTTTTGTTAAGTAATGGATCAGTATTGTCATCAGTACAAATGGACAGTACAGCCAATGATGGCCCAGATAAATATGTTGTCAAGTAATCCGACCAATCACAAATATAAATATTGTTATGTGCAACTTTGTTATTCTAGATTTATTAACAATCTTCCAAAATCCAGCAGAGTTTTTAATTTGCGATATCTGAAAGTTAATCTTCATCTAAAACAATTTCTTTTTGGCCTTACAGAGGGATTTAAAATTTTTGTTTAAGTTAGAATAAATAACGAATCATTGCTTAGATCTTAATCACCTAAAAGATCGTAGAGCGAAATTTTATCCTTTTTCAGTTGTAAATAATCAGCATCAAGCCAAGACTTGGCAAACTTTCTTGAACAGGCATATTTGACATACATACGACTTTGATCTATCAATTCAAGAATCATGTCAACAAAAGACAAATAAAAGGATAAAGAATCCAAGAAGAATCTGCTTTTAAAATCTACACATCTCTTGGTAACATTAAACAAATACTTATCCAAACATGAAGGTCTCCATAAATAATGACAAATTTCAGTAGGCGATTCCTTAGTGAGAGGAAGTGAATCAAAGTGGAAAGCAATAGAAACTGGGAGATGGTCGGAATCAAATTTATTTAAAATCTTAAAGTCTATTATATTATTGACTAATTCTGAGTGTAGCTATCAAATCAATAACTGATGCTCCCAAAGAGGAAATAAACATAAAATTGGCAGGGGAAATCGGTAACAAAATGACCATTTAAAAGAATTGAACCAAAAGATTTGACTAGGTTCAAAAAATTCCTTCCCCTATAGTTAAGCATCATATCTTTAGACTCTCTAAGGTTATAAAAATTTTAATTAGAACCTGTATATAATGTATCTATTTCAGAAGCAATTCTAGCATTAGAATCAATGAGAATCAAAATGTCGTCGTCATTAAAATCATGAATCAACCTATCAAGATACTCAATCAATGAATCATGTTTATTAATAGAAATATAAACCAAGACAATTAAAAGTTTAGAATGATCATTAAACAAAAGTTTATCGAATGTAAGTTTAGAGATAATAAAGTTATCAGAGAGATGATGAATTTCCAACTTACTAAGTTTCTGAGAAACTGCTAAGAACAAACCACCAGATGGTCTTCCAGTTTGTGAGCTAAAGATTCAGTAAAATAAAATTGAACATCTAATGTTGAAAGAAGGGTTTTCATCGAAGATGTCATCTATGATTCAATTATACCAATAATATGATATGAAAAGACAAAATCAACAAAACTCGTATCAGCAAAATTAGTATATAATAAACCTTGACTATTTCAAGATAAAAAACCTTTAACGTAAAAAAAATCTGAGCAAGGGATAACCAGTAAAGTTTTTAATTTTCATCCATTTGATGATCCACCAACTTCACTGGTAATAAAAGGTTCAAGGTTCAATCTTCTTCAGCTTGTTATTCAATAGGTCATACATAAAATTATCTCCATCAATTGTTAAACAATCAGCTCTCATGAACACAGATTTACCTGTCACCTTATCCTCTTGATAAAAAGGAACAAGATATCTTTTCCTAATTCTCGATCTCCAATGTAAATCATCAAAAAAACTTTACCCTGTAACAGTTTTCCCTCATTCAGATATTATGTACATTTCAGTAAATCAGTTTTTTTATCAGAGACAATGTCAAGTTCAGCCACCATCAAATTATTTTTTGAAACTGTTTTGAGATCTTTTACCAAAACAGAATCTCCATTGGATATTTTAACAGATGACAGAATATCGAAAACCAAAGACAGAACTTCCGACAAACATTCCTCCAATCCGGTAATAACAATATTGTTTCTCTGACGTTCATTAGACCATGAATCTAAGAGAGATAAAAAATAAGGAAGTCTGAGTAGTAGAAGACACATTTAAGTTAGATAGTTCTTCCATCTTCTTCTCCACATTAATAAGATGGTGTTCAAAGTCTTTATGTAAATTTGCCAGCTATTCGAATTTAGTAGCTAAATCAACGAGTTTAGTCGAAATAGTGTCAAATTTCTCCTCCAAAAAAGAAAATAAATTTTGAGGTACATTAGCAGACAAAGCTAATACAGGAAAAAAGATTCGAGCTGTTGGGATTTTAAAGCTGGTTCGCTAGAATATCTTTGACGTTTACCAACAGATGATATGGACAACTTTGGGGGAAGGAGGAGTGCGTGACATTGGGTCAGGATTAGATTCGATGCCACTGATTAGTAATAAAACATAACACATAAACATATATATATTTATTTATGTTAAACATAAAAATAAATATATGTCAAAGTTTTTAGTAAAACTGAAGTAAAGATACATACAAAAATTGACACAAATTGTGTCCAAAGCATTAGAGTTCATTATCAACAAGCTCACTGAAAAACTCTCCAATACTGACAAACGTCACAAGTGCCCGTCTCTCCTGTATCTCATTAATTTTAATTTTTAATAAAAAGTAAAAATACATTACAAATGGATATGAGTCCATTTTTCAAACTACTTGCTTTGTCTAGTCACCAGGAACAACTATTTCCATTGCAGAGACAACCTTTCTTTAGAGGCTATGCCTCTGCACAAATGTGCAATGTATAATTCTGCCAGCCCTTTTTACAAAAAAATTTTAATTTTATTTATTAATAGAAATAAATAGTGATGAACATACAAATTATTTCCCAGAAAATTTAATTCCAAAAATGGCTTAAGAAACTTAGCAGGATATAGTGATAATATTTAACTTTAAATTACTATTTCTTGGCACAATATTATAAATGTAGAAATTTACACTGCTTTTTCAGGTAGCCAAGTGTTTTATTATAGCATTTTCAGTGTTTTTTTGGCCAGTTTCAATTATAGAAATTCTTGTAATGGAATATTATAGAATTGAACAGCAGCTTAAATTTAAATTAATACATAAATATAAATATTAAAGTACTATTTAAAATTAATGTAAATAAAACTTAATTACAAACATTTAAACTAAACAATTAGACAGGTAAAGTAAAATATCATTGAATAACTTTTGATCAATCTTTGATCAAATTCGTAGGTATTGTCACTCCCTAACATAATAATAATGTAATCTTTCTATACATACTGTACATTTGAAAAATCATGAGAACATTTCAGTACACTTTGTTATTAAACATGGGAATGAGCTGTGAACAACTGGTTGATCTGTTGAACTACTTTAAAGGTTAAAGTACAGGTATGTTTTTTTTTTTTTTTTGTGTATTATGTTGAACATTAACTTGTGATTAGTCATGCTGGCAGAAAATACTCACTCTTGAAAAACTGAAGAAGAAAAAAAAAACGAGTTTCCCACATTTTGAGTTGATACCTTTGCTAGTCTTAATTTTTTACTGCTTTAGTGAATGTTGAAATCATGAGCACATAAAAGTTTAAAAAAAATCATGAAAAAACACATCTTTTTGATTGTTTTTGTTTTTTACTTAAGCAGGAATTCCTTATTACATGGACATTCATGTTAGTTTTTCTCATTTATTTGTCATTTAAGTCATTAACAGTTGCCATAATTAGATATAAGTAACCTCCCATTAAGCATTAATAAATTATTTTTATTAAATTATTTGACTAAATAATTATTGCAACTACCTGACTAGACAGTTGCAATAATACCAGGAGAAGTTGAAAAGTCTTTGCCAACTGTGTTTTTCTCTAAATTTGACTGTTATTTCAGAATTTCAAAATATAGTTATACATTTGAAAGTCTAGTTCATGCCCTACTTTTCTATGTAATTTCCAAGGCAGGCTAAACACTTCTTCCATTATAGTTCAAGTTTTTGGATACTCTCGTAGAATATGTCATGCAGTTCAGTTGTTGTGCTTAGCAGTTTCAATTGCGTTGCTGCATATCTTCACATCGTTGTCACTTTCAAAGTGATGACCTGCTAACCCGTCCTTGAGGAGGTCAAAATGATGATGACAAGATGCCAGATTCACACTGTGTAGCAGATAACAAAAATGGGACTGATTTCCAGATCAGATCATTTTGTTATCTGCAACAATCATTTGTTTTTGGATGATTGTTGTTCCATTTCTGAACTTATCAACCATCAATTTGCATCTTGCCAAAGTAGACAGTTGTTTCATACTACAAGCACTCATTTCTTGATAAATTTTGCTAGTATTCTTGCCAGATTCTCACAAAAATTAAATCACACTTCTGTGTTTTTTCAGCATGGAAATTGACAAAACACTTCCATTTTCAAATGTCCATATTTATTTCACATTTCACCAGACAGCATTGGAAAGTCCCTCTCATATGTATAGTTTAAAATTTTGGAATTGTAATTATTTATCAAGAAAAAGTGCAGTTGGCAAAGACTTTTTCAATTTCCCCTCATACATTCTTTTAAAATTGTGAAAACTTTTGATATGTAATATCTTTTCTATGATACTAGCTGATATAAAAACTTAAAATATAAATTTCTAATTTAAAAATTTGTTGTTTTTATTATTTTTAATTCATCTCTTGACAAGCCTTGAATGGCTTGTGTGTATTATTGCAAATCAGATGAGAACAACTGTCCTAGATTACACAATTAATGTTGCAAGTGAACAAGTGTAAATCAGTAGATCGTGGGCGTCATTCTCTGTTCCCATTTCCTGTCAGTGACCACAACAGCCACAATTGAGGCCACTCGGTAGTGTATCAACAAATCTGAAAATCAATTTAGTTTAACAAAGAATTAATAATTTACAGACTAACAGTTCTCAAATAAAGTTTTTACTTTATGGTAATCATAAACCCAACATCTTATATTTAAAAAAATAAAATTTTGTATTCGTTTATATAATTTATTTTTTAAATATTAAACTATTTTATACCGTTATTTTAATAGAAAAGAAAGCCGAGCCCGAAAGAATCCCGGTGGCAGCTTCTTAAATTGCATGGCTTGGGAATCCGATTCAAACACCACTGGTAAAACTAACCGAAACGATTTACTATTTTCGTGTAATTGATTTTGTTAATTTTGTATATAATTATGTGTTTGTTTATGGGGGGAAAAAACGAATTTAAAAAGATCTTGCAGATTATTTGGAATAAAAAGTAATTGAGAATTTATGTGATTTTTAAGGGAGGCTTTTTTTGTCGTCCGTTCCGTTCGCACGAATGCCATAATTTATCAAGAAACACGTATTCGTCAAATTTGGGCTTTTCGATTGCGGCGTGCTTAGAAAAATATGCATATCTGACCCGTGTCCAAATTATTTTTAATAATAAAATTAAATTGTATTTTGCATATATATAAAATGCATTGAAAAATTAATTTTGCTACCTACAGTTAAGCTTTGAAAATTGAGTATCTATTATTATATTAAATAAAAACAGTCGAAACTTAAAATGAGCAATTAAAAATTTATCTTTATTTAATTATTAATTATAGTATCTTATTTCATAATTTTATTTAAACTATTTAACTAACTGTCAACATAATTATTTTAATTATCATCATAAATTTTTATATTGGATTTATATTTCACTCATTGAAGAATTACAAACAGAAACCATTTTAAAATTTCCATTAGTTTATAAAAAGAAAAATTGTATATAAATAAGTAAATTTAAATTTATGGTTGTATCATAAATTTGTTTTAATAAATGGATTTTGTTTTGATAATTTGTGTCAGTTCTAAATAAACAATTCACTTTTCATTTAAATAATTCATGTTATAGCATAATAAATTGGATAAAATTGTCATGATGACATGAAAATAAACAAAAGAACAGTTTTATCACTAATATAATTACTATAAATTTCTAAATATTTTACAAATTTTGAATTTATTATACCAACATTGAAATTACAATGATCTTTCATTCTTGAAATTAAGATTAACAAATTCATCTTCCTGTTACTTTAATCTTAATAAACATAATCTTGCGAGAGTGAACAGAAATAGATATTGGAAACGTTTGTTGTTTTTTTTAAATTTGCCATCTTTTTGTAAGACATTAATTGGACTAATAAATAAAGCTACAATACTATAGGCAATAATGCTTATACCCATATGCAGACTTCTTAAATTTCAAGCCAATTTGTTTGAGGATATATAAGATTTAAATGAAGAATTTTGTCTTTAAGTAAATTAATTAAAAATATATATATAAAACTAATTTATAATAACAGCAATTACTGTATCGGTACATATGTAATTTGCAATGGTGTATGCCCCTTCAGAAAATTGTTAAAACAAATAAAACTTTCATACAATTTACTCCTCCATATATATCGCACCTCTGGAGCAGCCATTTAAAGCATGGCATTTATTGCATTTTAAGTAGTTTATGAGATGTTATCTCGATTATTAAAACATTAAAACTACTACTTTACCATAAGCTACTACTATGACAGTCTGTCGTAGTAGTAGCTTATCATTTGAAGATAAAAATTGAAAAGATGCATATCAAACAATAAATTCTTTGTTATATTGTTTAATTTCTGTTTTATTAATATAATAATAGTTTATTTTAGCAACTATTAAGAAAAAGTAAATAGAAAATAATCTAAACATCCATAATATTCAATGACACTAAGCAAAGAGGTTTTAATATATTAATTTTTTACCATCCAAACGTCCTCGTTTGCTAATCGACGAGTTATGTCCGGACGGCAAATAAAATTTGACGTAAAGTATTTTCCACGAATTATCATTTGATGAACTGGAGAAATTTTGTTTAGACCCTATACCTACGTGGCTAGGTAAGTTGATCATTGAATGATAAATGTTATGTTTATGTGTATATGGTAAGTCCTCAGTTAACATCATTGATAAGTATTTGGAAGCTACAACATTAAGCAAAATGACTTATAACAAAACCAATTTTAGCGTAGGCTAATTGATATAAACTAAATATAATTTGGTTATTATAGTTCTGATTAGATTGTGTTTGCAACCTTCACTTCAAAATTCAATTTTATTGTTTATAAAGAAAATTCAACAATGGTTATGAATGTATCTTTCCTTGACGATAATAAAACAAAGTGACATTAATTGAGGACTTGCCGTATACGTATATATCCAGTTATGTAAATTAAGAGCTGACATTTTTGACCTGCATATAAATCCTGATATACAATCATTGCTTATAAATCCCTTTATAAGCAATGCTTTATATCAGGGATGCATTTTATGTAATTTTATAGCTAAAAATTTCCCGTATGAATGAAGGTTCTAAAATTCATGAATTGTCAAGACAAAATAGATACATATCTTCAAACATTTAAGTCATATTTAGTGTATTGTTTTGAATTATTTGTTATAAAAAATGCAATAAATTTAATTGATAACTGTTGATCCACATCAATCAATATTTTAAAAGAATTTTATGACCAAACTGTCATTCAATTATTGTTTATAAGATTATTGCTTCTATTATTCAGTCATTCATGATTATGAATGGTGAAACAATTTATAATTATTTATGATGAATATTTTTCAGACTTGAAGTATGCAGTCGTATTATGGCAATTTTTCATAGAGGAAGTAGTTCAAGAAGGATTAACCAATCCTACTCCAGCTTGTTGTAATCCAAAAAAAAAGAGGTAAAATCAATTTGTTACAAATTAACTACAGTTTAAAGCATTTAATGTGTAAATGTATATTTGATTTTTATAATTAGGTTGAAAATATTCCAATAAGTTTTTATTTAAAATTCATTTAATAATCTTGGGGAATAAAAATCAATAAATTTATTGTAATGAATAAATAAAACTCAATCACTTTAAAATATAAAGGATCTTCTCAAACTTTTATGAGGAATACGGTGAAACCTTGCCAAGTCGAACTGCATTAACACAAATCCATCTATAGGTTCCAGACACCATATATAGGGTTTTCCATATTATGTGGTCTTGTTAAGACAAAATTGTCAGTACTTTTAACCCCAATCTATTTTCCTATCTACTATCCACCGTTTGATAGATCTGCGATCCTTGTTTTCTCTTGCATTTCGTGTTAATACCAACATGTAAGATAAACGGTGTGAAAACGAAAACAACTGCACACCATTACGACTTGGTGTCAACATCCTTTTATAGATAAAGTATGTTATGGGCATTCTGATTGGGACATAAGAATGTGCCTTGATGACTTGATGGTGTTATTAATCTTGTACAATTCTGTATCATTCTGTGAATGGATTGTTGAGAATAGGAAATTTGATAAAATCTGGTATTAAAGTCTTTAACTTGAAGAGTTTTCTTTAATCCCTTAAATTTGACTTAAATAGTTTTTATTATATATTTTCAAAATTGTAAATGATTACAATGATCATTTCAATAAAAATTAATGTATTTTTATTTTCTTTTTAGAGTTTTATTGAAGAGGCCAGAATTTTTGCTATAATTCGTAAGAAAATAATTAAAAGCAAAGAGACTTAAACTGCTTCAAAAATGAATTATGTTGTGGGAGAATAAGGCATTTAAATGATGAAAGTATTTTATCTTCTCAAGAATATTATTATTTACAGTATATTACAGGCCAGAAGGAAAGATGACAGCATGCAAAAGAATGGATGTGTGGTCAAACGGTATCATTTTAAATCTGTGACTATCAAACCTAAGCCAAAAGGTACTTGGTATTAGTGTAGTAACTATCAAAAATCTTAAATTATAATTTACATATATTTATTATAAAAACAAGTTAAATAAATTTAATGTTTAAAAAATTAGTCTATACACAGATAAGGAACAGGTGTACAGGCTCTCTGTTGAAAGAATTATTGGGCAAATCTTAACCAAATTTATTACACACACCATCCTGAGTATGTAGTTCTGATTTCCAGGAAAAAATTTTATTAAAAAATTCGACCACTAGAGCAAACTTTGCCATTGCCAATTGCTTAATGTGCTATTATCTACATTTTCTCATATATTTTGGGAGTTAGGAAATAAGTATGATAATTTTATTTCAATTACAGTTGTGGAATGTGCAATTGACAATTACATTAAAAATATGGCTCTAGATCCTCCATCTCCATGCTCTAAAACTGCATTCACTGCACAACATACTTGACAACTGACCTGCTTGGAATTATTGCATATTGTGAAATTCTGTCTTTTAAGACAGTTAGGTTGGGAACATTGCCTTCAAATGAGGCTCTGGGTAGCCTTTATGGCTATTCATAGCCTCATTTATCAAGGCAGGATTACCTGCCTTTACAGCTAGATGCCATAAAGGCAGATAATCCCATTCCACCAGTTTCCAAAATAGTCATGGTGCTCTCCTTTGCATTCTTTTTTAGCCCTAAAAGTAGCAGTGCTCTGAGGAGAGCCAGTAGCTCCTGCATTTTTATCTGGTAAAACCCTAGTGTAAAATTTGTAGTTATTTTGTTACTCTGGACAGTTTTCAATTGATCCGATCACAATTATCGGTAGCAGTGGTATACAATAGAAGATATTCTCGAGCAATGTATATCTGCTAATAAATGAATCCATTCAAGTAAAAAGAGCATACAATAGTAAGAAAGTAATGAGTTGTATAAGTAATTACTACCAATTATTAGAATAAAACAAGTAAGAAAACAATATAAAATCCAATTTTAAACTTACAAAATTTAAGAAAATTCTTAAAGTAGACAATACATAAAAGTGTCTCCTTGCTTTGTCCTTTTGCATGTGCGTGAGGAAATTAATATTTCCACGATGGAGTCGACCTTTCATTCGAGGCTACTCATCTGCCTTAATATGTGACAAAGTGACACATATCGAGGCAAAGGACAAAGTGAGAAGACACTTTTATGTATTGTCTACTC